TTTGTATAATATTATTCAGAACTAGTATGACCATTGTACGAGATGCCATTACCAGCAGCCACAAGAACTTTGCCGGAACTGAGCAGGGTTGCAGTATGATATGTCCGCGCGGTTGCCATGTTTCCAGTAGAGTTCCACTGCCCTGTTGATGGATCATATAGTTCGGAACTACCAAGAGCATTTGACGTGCCATAACCAGCAGCCACAAGCACTTTGCCGGAACTGAGCAGGGTTGCAGTATGATATGTCCGCGCGGTTGCCATGGTTCCAGTAGAGTTCCACTGCCCCGTTGATGGATCGTATAATTCTGAACTAGCAAGAACATTTGACGTGCCAAAACCAGCAGCCACAAGCACTTTGCCGGAACTGAGCAGGGTTGCAGTATGAGATGTCCGCGCGGTTGTCATGTTTCCAGTAGAGTTCCATTGGGCTGAAGCAGGAAACATTACAGCATTAGTTAGTATTTTAATTGTAGTGATATAAACGAATCTCAGTTCGAAGTGTGTTTTAGCTATTCTAGGCTTTGTTTACTAAAGGATGTTTCCGGCTCTTGGTCTGATCGGCACCTTACTGGTATTTTACTTAACGTGATATAGAGCAGTCGGTATTTGAAAAGTATCTACTTTCAGTTGAAGAGTTGTGGCAAATTTCAGAATGTACTTTACACTGTACAGTTCTTGCATGAAGGCAAGTGTTACATGAAGCACGTTCAAGATGCTAATAGATGGTTTCGTTTAAGAAACGCAAATTACCGAATGGGACGCTTGTCGTTGATTCTACCGTCGAGCTTGCCGCCACGGTGACAGCTGAGCTTGTCACTGAGGTTGTCGCGGTGCTTACTGTTGGACCTGTCACTGAAGTTGCCACCGGGCTAGTCACAAAGGTTGCAACTGAGCTTGTCAGTGAGCTTGCCACTGAATTCGCCACTGAGGTCACCATTGAGCTTGCCACTGCGGTTGCAGCTGAGCTTGTCACTTCGGTTGCAGCCGAGCTTGCCACTGCGGTTGCAGCTGAGCTTTTCACTGAGCTTGTAATTGAACTTGCCAGTGAGCTTGCCACTGCGGTTGCAGCTGATGTTTCCACTGCGGTTGCAGCTGAGCTTTTCACTGAGCTTGTAATTGAACTTGCCAGTGAGCTTGCCACTTCGGTTACAGCTGAGCTTGCCACTTCGGTTGCAGCTGAGCTTGCCACTTTGGTTGCAGCTGAGGTTGCCACTGCGGTTACAGCTGAGCTTGTCACTGAACTTGTAATTGAACTTGCCATTGAGCTTGGTACTGCGGTTGCATCGGCGCTTGTAATTGAACTTGCCAGTGAGCTTTTCATGGAGCTTGCCACTGTGGCTGCAGCTGAGCTTGTCACTGAACTTGTTATTGAACTTGCCAGTGAGCTTGTCCTTCCGCTTGGCACTGCGGTTGCAGCTGAGCTTGCCACTGAGCTTGTAATTGAACTTGCCAGTGGGCTTTTCATCGAACTTGCCACTGCGGTTGCAGCTGAACTTGCCACTACGGTCGCAGCTGAGCTTGCAGTGAGCTTGTTCTTGAACTTGCCACAGCGGTTGCGGCGGAGCTTGACAGTGAGATTGTCCTTGTGCTTGCAACTTCGGTTTCAGCTGAGCTTGCCAGTGAGCTTGTAATTGAACTTGCCAGTGGGCTTTTCATCGAGCTTGCCACTGCGGTTGCAGCTGAGCTTGTCAGTGAGCTTGCGACTATGGTTGCAGCGGAGTTTGTCCTTGAGCTTGCTGCGGAGGTTGCAGCTGAGGTTCCAGCTGAGCTTGTCATTGAGCTTCCCACTGAGGTTGGCACTAAGCTTTTCATTGTTGTTGCCACTGGGCTTGTCATTGGGCCGGCCACTGAGATTGCCAGTATGCTTGTCGCTGAGCTTGTTGTTGAGCTGATCGCTTGCGTGGTTGTTTCATTGGTTTCTGAAAGAACCATGTGTGAATTAGTGGAAAGAAATGAGCTAAAAGTTCAATAACTCGAAATGGAATGAGCTGTAACGCTGAAAATTTTCGGCAATATAGTAGTAAGTTGGTTTGTTGACTGAGTCGACGTGCCAGTGGGTGCTGAAAAGGACTTGATGCATTTTTCACCCCATCTGCGGATATGTCTGAGTAGAAAAGTCTACTGTTGGCTCAGATGTAAGGTTTAGAGAACAACACAAACTAATTTTAAAATTTTATATTGACAAATTTTAAAGTTTTACTGGGTGAGGGTTTCTTCATTAGTCATAATCAAAGATAAACACTGTCTTTCAGATGACCTAGACAAATCGGTATGCAGAAAGGTCAACTGTTACCTAAGGGTATAACGTTTTCATTTCGAAAAATTTCGATTAAAGTCAATAAGTCAAGAATGTAACAGGAAAGATGGTTTGGAAACTGTTCACAAAAAGTTCCACTGCATACTGCAGAGGTGTGACGAACTATCAGTGGCGAAGAAAAGTATTCGATCGCATTCATTATTTTGCCTCTATTTGTCTCTTTCTTCTTTCATTTATTTAATAATTTATTTTAATTCTTTCAGCAGTATTAAAGCTGGTGACGAGTTTTAAACAAGTCCTTTCTGTGCCTAGACTTGTTACACCTAAGTACATGCTGGATGATCGTTTGTTTAAGGATAGTTATGATAGATGGATAGAGAAAAATTAATTACTGACTTATTTAAAAGAGTGTGTAACGGTTCATATCTATGTATGTTAAAAATTTCAGGAGCTCGTGCTACGTCGTATTCTTCTTTCTTCGTCTATCAACATTTCATGAAGAAACGTTTTGCATGAGCTTTTTCTTCAACAACTTTTCATGTAACATACGCTAATTCTTTTGTATATCTTAGTTATTTTCTCAATTAGATCGACGTTAGATAAAAGGTAGAGAAAGGAATAGAGTCAAAAATATTAGGTTACAGTATTTTAAAACCACAGTATGCAAAACACATAAAAGTCGCCGCTTCTCACTTATACAATATCCCAATATATTATAAAAATATCAACTCAGAAGCATTGTTTTTAGTTTTTTGAAAAGAAATGAAGAACATAACACTTTACCACTACACTTGTAGTTCTCTGTACTTAGAGTGCTGTCTCTTATTTGCTGGTTTTCTCTTAGTGTTTTAATCTCTTAAATGTTGATTAATTACAATTAACAGAGAAGAATATTGGCTACCTTTTACTAAAAACAAGAATATACACCAGCGCTCTTTAGTATGAAAATGTTTCCTAACGATGTAACACATGCTTTTTTCAAGCTTTGCCTGCAGAAGTGAAACTGGATGTGAGCTTCTGATTCGAATAAATCACACAGTCATGGTTACCAGCAGTCAGATGACAATCTTTTTCCGTACCCGAAACGCTGGAAAAGTCAAAAAGTAGATAAAACTTGTTTTGTTTATTAATCGCTGTTCCAATACTGTATTTCAATAAAAGTAAATGCATTTTCTAAGAGAGTTAACTTCTCCTTCAAGCTATATACATATTTCTGATTTTTATCGCTAATTAAGTGGACGGGAAATTAAAAATAAAAAACTTAATATTTCAAGTATCACTGTTCAAATTAACTTTTCATTCAGATTCTAATAAAAACTGGGTGTATAATGATGAAGAAAAAGCAAATATTTTAAACTCGCATTCCACTAAAGCTCGCACTATGGATCCAAATCAGGCTCAAAGAACTGTTCCTTCTTTCATTCTTTCTTCTGTTTCTACTACTTCATGAAAGAATTCTCCAGGTGAAACTGAGCGTGTTCTTAAAAAACTCGTGCAGTTTATAATTTCGACGAGGGCTAAAGAAGTATCAATTTGTATGACATCTGGCTACGTACCGCTAGTGGATGAGATGAATGGCTCTGTTTTTGGCTGATTACTTGTGACTCTCGATGCAATTGACGGATATAATGAAGTGAACGACTGAACAGATGAAGTTGATTCTGTTTTTGTTTCGGATGGTTTAGTTGCTTTCGATCTTTTAGAAGTCTTAGGCTTCGCGGGAGATTTTGTTCTTCCTGTTTTTTGGGACAAAGCTGAAACAGAGAGAAAGTGACTCTTGTTATGTCTCTTGTTTGACAGCCTTTACTTGTATTGATTCCAGTTTTCTGAGTTTGTGGACGTTCTTTTGTAAATGCTGGAGTTTTCACAGAAGAGAATGCAGTTGGTTGGCGCTGCGTCGTTTCACCAGTTGGTGACATAATTGTTGAAATGAGTACAGAGAATAAAGATGCCATCTGGCTAATTGTTACACTTGAACTGCGGGTAGCAGGTCGCTCGGGTGTCTTTGTTCCACCGCTATGCCCTTGTGTTCTTGACATTGTTTTTGATGTGAACGACGGTGCATTCGAAACACCTTGAGTGGAGGAGACATTTCCACCGTTACTCGTGGTTGATGACAGCTGCTGGGGCTGATTACCGACAGTTGATGTCGGTGGTATCTGTGATGTTGTTGAATTAGTATTACTACCACCATTACCACCGCTTGACGTTGTGGAACCGAAGAATGTTATAACTGAAAAGGAAAAATACATTACATAGTAACTTCTTAAATATTATATTCCATTCTTAGAAAGCCAGAGTTGACATAATAACACTGTTTCTAGTGTTTAAAAATGGCGGAAAGTCCCGTTAATAAATGTCGCGTGATGAGGAAATAATTTTCTCACAGACAGGCAGAAGAACAAAGCCAGTTATGCGAATCGAAGTCTCCGAACAAGATGCATTCGTTCACCTGAATACAGGAAGAATATGACATCTAGTGAAGGTAAATTAAATGTCGGTCAGAGAATCACGCAGGTCATCTGTACTTACACGGGCTCTCTCCAAATGGAATGACAATAAATATTTGAATTGTTACCGTTTGTACTGTGCCCTTTTGACACATCAGCGTCAGGCAATCAATAGCAAATATCAGTCGAAAATCGACTATCATTTGAGCTAATGTTTCTGAATATTTAGCTGCTTTGGTAGCATAAAAGTAAGGGATAAATTGTTCTACTGTCTGCGCTGGGGCTTGACGTTTTTCCTAAATATATGGATAGACTCAATTATGACCCTTTCACTATTTCAACAAAATTTCATCAACGCTTTTTGAACTCATAATGTGATGATTTAAATAGTGGTCTGTTGAAAAGTTAGAAGGAACATATAGTTAAAGTAAGGCTTATTGGCGATTTAATGCTAAGTTAGAATTACTTTCAATAATTTTTATATTTAGATCTACTCTTTCACTTAAAATGTATCACACTTATGTTTTCTCTTACAATGTATGTGTTATAGTAGCGATTCTTTATAGAAACTTTTTAGTTCAGGTTTAATTCAATCCAAATTCAATTCAGGTTCAGTTTAATTCAAAGATTCTTGATAAATATATATATATATATAAGGTGGAGCAAATTCAAAAGGACGGGGGTCGATAAGAGGCAATGTGAAATTGATTTTGTGTTTTTCGATAGTTTTAGTTTAGAATACTATAATGGAATTTATTTTCTCTTGTAACTTTGGTCAAAACGCAAGTTTTGTAAAGGTGAAGACGAAGAAAAGCCGGAGGTTCAGCAAATGTTGTATTTATAGCATCTAACATATGACGACAAGCTAGAGCAGTTATTTTAAAATGAGGTTTCCAGCTTAAATCGTATGAAAAATACAAACCCGAACGTTCGGGTGTATTTTCATATTTGAGAGATTCTCCATTGATGCTAAAACTGAGAGAAGTAGGAGGGTTAGCAGACAAAGAGAAATATGCCCAATGACACTTGTCAGAACTCAAAGACATAAAATTGCAATCACACCAGTTAGTAACACGATCTATTTCAGTTTGAACAAATTGCTTGACCGTGTTCAAACTATCCTGTTTCTCGAATGTACAGATCAAATACAGGTCATCAGCAAACAAACTACCCAGGTCGACTCTCGCGCCCTAGTCGCGGCGCGTACGCAAGCGATCGCTATGAAATCCCGCTGTCGCGGCGCGATCGCTATTGAGTCGCGAAGTCACGGCGGGATCCCGGAAAATTCTTATCTAGAGAGAAGAGGAATTTTTAAGAGTCGTGATGAGTTCGCGATGTCGCGGCGCGCCTCTTGTGATCGCGAATTTCAACAGCCGTACTCTGCTTAGTCGCGCCACGACTCTTGCTGAAACAAGCTTTTCTTCAAAAGACTTGCTTAGTCTCGGCGCGATCGCTAAAAAATCTTGTATATACAAAATTTTTTAGCGATGGCACCGCGACTAAGCAAGTCTTTTGAAGAAAAGCTTGTTTCAGCAAGAGTCGTGCATAGTCGTGCCAGATTTTTTTCTAAGTTCTTAAACTCGCGCCGTGATCTTGGCCTAATCTTATTTTAAAAAAAATATTTTTTAAGATTCGCTATACGATTAATGTATATTATCGCGGCAGGATTCGCGATATGGCGAGTCGCCGAGACAATCACACGTATATAAACAGTAGTATTTTCCTAGTCGCGTCGCGAGTCGCGATTTTTATCGCTAAGTACAATACCCAAGCATGAGTACTCAAAGTCGTACCCACAGTACTCATTACTCACTCACGAATACTCACATGAGTACTCATGAGTGAATAACGAGTACTGTCAATGAGTAAAAAAGTGTGTGAGTACTCATGAGCACTCGGAATATTTTTCAGCAGAGTACGACTTCGAGTACCCACACTTGAGGACATTCAATAGGGATTCCACTCTATACATCATTCGATAGAGAATTTCACGCGCTACGAAATGATATAGGAAATGTTGAGATCGAATTGGGCCTGGGTGTCCTAACACTATAAATACTACTGGAGAGTGATGTTTTCGGCATCGACGGATAGGCTAAATTCATATAAAACCAGCCACCACCTTTTTTCATCCTTAACGATATGTTTATAGAGCTCAGCAAGCTGAACCGAATGGTGAAAACCGCAAGTGTACAGACTTATCAGAAAAAGAGCTATAGCCATTTTACACCCACAGTAGAAAAATGCATTTTCCGGCGGATTTGGCCTAACTTGTAGAACGTCTGCTGACCACATTCTCTAACGTAGAACCTCCACATTCTCTAACGTTGAAGTTAGTCTCAAATGAAAGAGCGCGTCGAGTTTTGTATATTTCGACAAAGAAAAGTTATGCTACATTCCGGAGTCTTGAGATAGTGATTTCTGAAAAACCCAGTTTGCTAGAAACCCTAGTGATCTTAAAGTTTCTCTCAGAAGCTTTTCAATCATATCATTAGATAGCCCCTTCAATTCTCCATAAAATGGTATGCTCGCGAAGTTTCTACGATCGTGGACCACCGAGTTACAATCTTTTTAACATTATGAATATAAATTCAGTCGAGTTAATGCCGTTTTAGATCTGGATCGTGTTTTCTATGCCGCCTTCTGAGACAATATCGTAGAAACTTCGCGAGCACTTTGCTCGAGAATGTGGTCAGCAGACGTTCTACAAGTTAGGCCAAATCCGCCGAAATTTTTTCTTCAAGCCGTTCAAGTTTGTAGAGGATACTTCGAAGTATATGTCCGGAAGTTTTCCCAGCTTATTTACATTATTTGACTGAGAAAAAAATTAATTACTTAAAAAATGTTGTTAAGTCTTTGAGCACCGGGCTATTATTAAAAAATTTCCTGTCTATTCTTCATTCTTCATAAAAACTTGGTCCTTGTCTGCATCGATAGAGAAATGCGCGGAGAATATTTACTAATTTATTTTAAATTAGTTTACTATGAGAAAAGATGTAAAATTTGTTTTTTCTTCCTGTTATTGACTAATTAGTATCCATTAACGTTAAATTAGTTTAGTTTACTAGCTTAGAGTCCCATTTGTAAAATAACAACTCAACGAAAGAATTCAAGCAATTCCTCATTTGGCACAGAATTTCACGGGCTACAAGACGGGCTATCTTAGAAGTTTTAAAATTCATTTTTGAGTGCTGAGTAGGTCTGGTTTCTTTCCCCATGAAATAATTGATCAGGTGTCTTGCTACGACTGAGTCTGTAATAGTAAAACGAGAGACAGTAATGGAACGGAAAAAATAAGTTCGTTCAGATTTCTGACAGCTGAACGTGATATTTCTGAATATAGGATACTATAATATTCACTCACCGTTTTTCCAATGTTTTTTGGTTGTCTTACGACTACATTGACCACTTCAACTTGTGTTTTTTGCGCTCGACTGTCGCTGGCTGCATTATCCAACTGTCGTTGCAGCTAAAAGAAGAATGAGGTTATTATACTGTAACTTAATGAGCCTACTTCTTACTATATTTTGCAACACTTCATATCTTGATTGCGGTACTTGCCCGTCTACATTCAATGGCCCAAAGGGTGCGGGTAGATTGTAAATTATTTGAATAATACCACTTTCTCCTAAAAGCAACATAGAATTGTCTCTCACTTACTAAAAGTTGCGTAATAAACTTCTTTTCTTTTTTTTTAAACTTTATTTATTTATTGATGAAACAAATAGTTATAACTAAGACAGGTCAAAAGAGAGCAAAGCCCCATTATTATCGTCCTGCCTAGCCAATAAACTATAACGTGGTAAACTTACGTTGCCGGCTATTAATATCACGTCTTTGTAAATACAGAGGAACTAGGGCGATCACGATTACGCCTGCGAATATTAAACCGAGCAGGCCCAAACAGCACAAAATCCGTAATGGTAGCCCTCCAAGTCTAAACCATGAAACATATATGGGTCGATGGATAGAAGAAAGAAAGAAGAAATATACCTCTTTGATGAAGGTGAGAATGCTTGATACTCGTGTACTGTCTCCATTTGGAACTGTACTTTTCCGGAACAGAAGTACGATTATGTCACAATTCCTGTAACAAAGGCATAGGTTGGAGACTTACACTTCGCGGCAAAGTTCATGTGCAATAAGGAAATATCCTCCTCGCTGCAATAAACGGTTAAACTCGAAAAGTTGAATCATATATATATCCGAGGATGATTGGAGGATTGAAAAGTTGCAAACCTGCAAAGTTTTATCTGTACTTCAAAGTCTCAACCGGTGGGGGAGGGAGGAATCATATATATTTCCGAGGAGGATTGAGAGGATCGAAAAGTTGCAAAGTTGCAAAGTTTCATCCGATATATTTCCGAGGAGGATTGGAGGATTGAGAGGATTGAAAAGTTGCAAACCTGCAAAGTTTTATCTGTACTTTAAAGTGTCAACCGGTGGGGGAGGGAGGAAGCTAGCATGAAAGTGAGTCATGAGATAATGTTTCGTCACTATTTTTTGAGTAAATCTAGAATTCAAAATCTTCAAGTACATAGACATATAAGAATATCGACAAAGGATGTAACCAGACACATACGTACGAAGTCTAAAAAAGAAATTCGGGAAGAAAAGAGATACTGTACAATAAGAAGTGTCCTAGAATAAGACGTTTCCGAATAAGAAGTATCGGATGAAAAGAAGTGTCCAGGTACGAAGCGTCTGGGAAGATCGGATCGGGAGTCTTCCAAAATACTAATGCATTATACATCCTGATCGTGATTTGTGGGCTGGAAAGACACGTTTCGAATTAAATAAACGAACATTCAATAAAGTACTGTTAAAATATTTCTTATTCTGTAAAAATCTAATAATATCATATAGCGACTCAAGACATGTTGCTTAGTTTCTCCACCGTTTCAATTCTGGTAGTTTTATTTGTTTAATATATACCGAGTGACATATATTTCTTTTCGCTGAATGTAGTGAAACATCACAAACTTAACTGGTGTGTCAAGGTCATTTATGTCGAAAACGCTCCGTTATTTGGTCGTTAACCAGTCTACTTCATATACGATTCGACACAGAATTTCACGGGCTACAAAATGATATATCACACAGCCTTAAGAAGTTGTGCCGGGGTAAGGCCAAGATTCGAAATACTCGGTAGCATATGAGCAAACTGGTGTGTCAAGGTCATTTATGTCAAAAACGCTCCGTTATTCCATAGGTTGATAAACTACATACCTAAAAATGGGGCACACAACAGTAATCATCGAAGACAATGACTTATATTAAATTGAGTGCAACAATTTAAATGAGCAATAATTAAATTTATCAATAATTATATTGCATGAGCAATACCTTCCATGCACACGAGATTGGACTAGGGGGGTGCGGGTCGGGTGACATTGTCACACACAGTCCATAGGGTAGTTTCACCCAGCGCTTATTTTTTCCCGTTACTTTTTACTTAACTAGCCCATGAACAAGTGCGAAATTCTGAGAATTTTTCTTCCCAACACAAGCCGCTTTCTGGCAGCAAAACGTTACTTTTCGATCGTCCGATCCTGCTCGGAAATATAAGTGATGAAACTTCGCAACCTTGCAACTTTTCAATCCCCTCAATCCTCCTCGGAAATATATGTAATGAATCCTTGCAACCTTGCAACTTTTCAATACGCTTAATCCTCCAATCCTCCTCGGAAATATATCCGTCGAAACTTCGCAACCTTGCAACTTCTCAATCCTCTCAATCCTCCTCGGAAATACATGTGATGAAACTTTAGACATGTTCGACCCTCGTAAACCTCAAATCCTCCGCGGAAATATATGTGCTGAAACTTTGCAACTTTCGATACTCTCAATCCTC